GTCAGTTATCCACAGTGAAACATGGTCTGAAAATATTGAGTGGAAAATGCACTCACATGTTGCAAACGGTGTGCTGTTCTGAGTAGCAGCATGAAATCTCCAGTTTTCACACTCTGTCAGGATGTAAATCATCTTTTTGCCCAGGGTATCGATGCTCTGTAACTACCCTTCCTTTAGTCACACAGTGCTACAAAAGCTTGGTGTGCAATGATTTTGGTATTATGTGAGGTTTCAGGCATCCAGCGGCGATACTGGGCCATACCCTTCTCGTATAAGAGGGGAAGAAAGAAAGGAAAACTTCCACTAATGATGTGGAATCATTAGGAGGCATGATTTCGATGGATAGGAAGGAAGGAAAGAAAAAGAAGAGCCCAGGAATACTAACAAATTCCTCTAGTAAATTCACATGTCCGAGAAAACAGCTCTCAAGGGCCGTGAAACAGGCTAACACCAGTGGTTAGTTGCTCTTAAGATTTTGACAATACTTTCTGATCAATCCCTGTTAACCTTTAAAGAGCCAGAGACTCCATCTACCCACAAACTACCCTGTCCTGTTGCACCCAACTAGCCATTGACAAATGTCTTACTGGTCTGTATTTTTCTACCACTGTAACAAAATGTTTGAGGCTGCTTATTTTATGAAGAAATGGGGCTTAGCCTGGTCCACATCACATCACGGGAGCAGACCATGCAAGAGAAAGAGATCATGCAATGAAATGACAGGAGAGAGAGAGAGAGAGAGAGAGAGAGAGAGAGAGTAGAAGAGGGACCAATCTTCTCCTTTGGTAATGCTCTGGGGAGAACTAATCATGTAGAACTACATTAATTCCTTCTGCAGACACATCCCCAATAACATGGAGACCTCCTGACATGCTCCACCCTTTAAAGGCTCCAACACTGCTCAATAGGGCCACACAAGTATCCAAGACCCAGCTCGTGAACTCTTTCTGTCTAAACAGTATCCTAACCATCTCGAGATCATAGAAAGGAGAACCAGCTGAAGAGAGTTCCAATTTCTCAAGCCATTCCTTGTCTAGTCTAGAAAGACTGAGATCCAAGAACGCAAGGAAAATTATTTTGCTGACAAGTATTATCAGTTTCTTTAAAAAGATTTATATAACAAGCTTGACATTCAAAGTACATTTTGAGTTTGCATGGGAAGAAGCCAAGTAAAGGTCAGAAAGCTGACAAACTTCTATGAAGACAAGAGGGCAACGCCATAAAACAGAGTTTTATCTTGTAATTGTTTTCTCAGTAAAAAGAAAAAAATTGAAATACATCTCTAGGGGGAGCTCGGTAGGTATAAATTTGCCAATAATTCTTTGGTAGGTATTTCTTTTCTCAGTTTTTTCTTTTCCTAAACATAAGTCCATTCTATGAAAAATGCCTTTTAAAGCATAATTTGCAAAAGAAAGATAAAATCAAGGTTCTATGGCAGATATAAAATGAGCAAGCATTAAGATGTTTAACTTGTTATTGGTTGAGGAAGTATCAGTGATATCTTACAACACATAAAAAGAACTATATAATAAAAATACTATCTATGAGTTGAAAAATATTAATACTTGTTCCTGTTATTCAACTGATGCTGGGTCCAATCCCCAGATTGAAAAAAAGAAGGATATTAGGATGTAAATGGGGTCAAACTACTCTGCCATTTTTGTGGATGTGTCCTCATCTGAGCAAGAATCATTCCAGATTATACTTTGTAACTCTCACGATCACAAAACAACTCAGAGGGAGGGCAAGAAGCACAGCCCTACTGAATTAGGATGATATAAGCAACTGGGGTGTCAAAACTAGATATTTTCTCAGGGAAATGCACATCTGACCCTACATACCTTTCCTGATTGAAATTCCATGTCCTTAATTCAATGCATTTATTTTTTTTTCAGTGACAACCTTATGTAGAATTCAATATTTGGGGAAATGCTGCTCCTGGACAGAGTTTGTAGGGAAGTTTGAAATGTACTCTTTCCCCCGTGAAGCCTTGATAATTCTAGCCTGAAATTAACTGACAAATAGGCAACAGGAAAAGAGCATACAATCTTTCCTGTACCTACGCAGATGAGACAAAAAAAATCTGTATGAGACTCAGAGAGGTTGTGGCAGTCCATCTTCTGCTACAACAGTGAGATACAGAGTTGAACAACTTAACTTTTTCTTCTCTCTTTTCTTTCTCTCTCTCTCTCTCTCTCTCTCTCTCTCTCTCTCTCTCTCTCTCCCTCTCTCCTCTCTTTCTCTCTTTTTCTTTTTGCAGTAATGGGCCTTGAATCGAGGGCCTTCATACTTAGCTCCATCTTGAGACTCTTCTTCTATTTTAAAATATATATATTCATTTTGCAATAAGATCTTGCTAAGTCACTAAGTTGCCCTCAAACTTCTCTCTCTCTCTCTCTCTCTCTCTCTCTCTCTCTCTCTCTCCCTCTCTCCTCTCTTTCTCTCTTTTTCTTTTTGCAGTAATGGGCCTTGAATCGAGGGCCTTCATACTTAGCTCCATCTTGAGACTCTTCTTCTATTTTAAAATATATATATTCATTTTGCAATAAGATCTTGCTAAGTCACTAAGTTGCCCTCAAACTTGCCATCCTCCTGCCTCAGCCTCCCAAAATGCTGGGATTACAGGCATGCTCCACCATGCCCCATGAGCTGGGTTAACCTCATAAAGCAAAGAGTTATTGATCTCATCGTTCTGTAGGCCCAGGGACATTGCAACTTCCCTTGCTGGCTCTGATGAGGAATTTGCAGTGGACAGAGTCCTGATGGCTCCAGCACAGCAAGAAAGAGAGATCTCATTGAAGACAGGAACCCAGAGAGAGAGAGTTGAGGGCCTTGCGTACAACCGTTCTCTTCCACTGCAGCAGAAGGAGCATTCCCTTTGGGGAGCAACAGCTGCAGCATTTTAGGGCAATCAGCAAAACAAAAGTATATAGCCCTGGGCTTTGGGGGCAAAGGTGGGTAGTGCAGGTTTCACAAAGCTGAAGTGGGATGCAAGAGCAAGAGAGAGTTGTTTCTAATGCAGATAAAATATTTGGCTAACAGCACCTTGTGGCTGCCTCTGCCTGTCCTAATCTCTGCTTCTTTGCCAACATCTTTCCCAGGGAGGAAGGGTAGACATCGAAAGGGACAGGCACAAAGGGCGGATATGTTGTGTGCTAAGACAGATTCCCTTTAGGGGTGTAAATTTCCTTTTGCAAAAGGGCAGCCTCTCAGAGCTAATTTTGTGTCCACACTTTCTCTGAAAAACCCTCCTGAAATAGGGCCCAGAAATATAGCTCTGCGTGATATATTTTGTGGCCCCACATTTCAAAAGTCGGTATAGTTTTGATGAATAGCTCTCAGCTTTCTGTGGGAGTCCGGATCCATGGAGAATTTATTAAAGCATGGATTTCCTCCCTCTTTCCCTCCTTTTCTGTCAGTTTCTAATGTTCAGCAAATTTGGGGAAAGGACCAAGACAACATTTTTCCTATATTAAGAACCATGAGCATTGCGCACAGGACACATTAGTTGGACCGATTTTATCACCCTGGTAGGTTTATTGGCGGAAATCTCCTTTTAGGCGCTAGCTAATTCATAAATCACAAGAAAGAAAGTCACCCACAGTACCTCTTAAATTGTCTTGGCTTTTCTCTTTAGAACAATATTATTCATATTGGGATTTCTCTTAGTCTCCATATTTTGCAATGAATAGCTTTTGGCTTCTACTGCTGCAAAACAAAAAACAAAACAAAACAAAAACAAAACAAAACAAAAACAAAAACAAACCCCCCACACACACAAAATAAATTCACCACCTTTTGTGGTCATTCAAAGTAATCTGTGGCAGGCTTCAACCACAATCCTGGGCCACGACTTCAAAATTTATGTTGAACATTTACACCGCCCTTAAGAAGTCTAAAAGGATTTTTTTTTCTTTCCGTGAAAGAGCTCGTGCACATCTGTTTCTGTTTTGCATCATTTTTAGAAAATAAATTACTTCTGGAATCAGCTATTGCTCAGAAAGGAAGTAGCACAGCATTGAGGCAGGAGATCAGGGCCCGGCCAATAGGTTAAACAACCGAGTGAAATCTGTCAAAAGTCCAGGGAACACAGACAGATCACGGGATCCAGAATGAGGCCGTGTCTGCTGAGTACCCTACGTGGAACCAATCAGAAATGCACCATTTTTTAGTTCTCCCTTACATCCGGTGCGTGGCAAAATGAGTCCTTTGCTAAAGCAGTTTCAATCCCCTGCCAGACCCAGTTTGTGGGAGGACAATTGTCACAATCATCGTAGGTGCCTTCGGCCCCTGAAGGAGAAGCCGACCAAGGAATTCTAGATTCACAAGAGCCCTGTCTCTTATGGTGGGGATGCTGTGAATCTTCTCTCTGTCTGGCTTTCTCGGTAGAACACACTTCTCTCCACCTTAAGTCAATGCGCACCCTGAAAAGTTCTATGTGAGTCTTGCCCAGTGCTTTGTTAGGATGCTGAGGACTTGGAACTCCCCCAGACCCTGGGACCCAGCAAGAACAACCAGGAATCCCCCATCACTCCAATAACACAATTGAGCGCAAATCTGATGGCAACACGCTCTCAGATTCCCAGGGAGTTGTGTGTAGGGCTTATGAAGTTGTCCAAAAAATTGTTTTAAATCATCACATTGCCCCGAAGTAGCTCATTCTAGCTTCTCCCTCTCTCTGAACTCCTTTATTGAACAGCTCTGTCCATCGCTAGAACAGTGAGCAATGCAAAAATAATTCTTGGAGAGTAGTAAAGTCTCTTCTGTTACATTTCTGCTTTTTGTAGGTTAATTAACTCTTCCCTCTCATTTTATCTGGGAAAATCTCTTGGGCTTCTACGTACTAATTCATCGTAATGTTCCGGGCCTACGTAATTGTGAATTTTAAAAAAGCTTTTCTGTGGAAACAATTTGGATAGCTTTCTCAATCAATGAGTCAAATTGAATTGCTTAAACAAGTACATTTGCTAAGACATGTTTATTTTTATATCTCATTGCAGAAGTGATGCTTTTACTCTTTGGGGAGTTTAACAATTTTGAGAACAACCGTCTTATTAGTCGTGGAAAAAGACACAGCATGAAGACCCATAGAAGGCAAATTCCACTGTTTGCCGAGAGACGGATTTATAACCATTGGCTATGCATCAAAACCTGGCTTCATTTTTTTCCTTCTGTCGTTAATGTAGACAGGTAAGTTAATTAGACATCTTGTAGGCAGTTAGATAGGGCTGGCCCTCCAGAAGCCAAGGAAGGAGCCCATGTAGTGAACAATCAAGGCATCTGCTGAGGACCAACATTATGAAAGAAGAAAAAAATAGTATAGCCCCTGCTTCCCCTGGGGATGAATAATAGTGATTGATATTCTAAATAGGTATCAATCACCTGAAGGAGGGGGGCCAAGTATTAACCCAGCATTTCCAGGAAATGTTGCCGACCCCCACCCTTACTAAAAATCCTGGTATGCTTGCTACATGATTTGCTGCCCCCTTGGACCCACATTTAATAGGTATTACCTGGCTGACTGTACTTGTAATCTCATTGGCTGGTCATGGTTTGCCCTACCTCTTGCCCATCTTGTAATTTTCTATTGGGTCTTATAGTTTTACCCCATTTTAAAACCACCTCACCTCTTGGCTTTGCCCCATAAATATCCCTTAGGAAATAGGGTCCCAGGCTACCCACATTCCATTCCCCTGTCTGTCTCTCTTAGGCAGAACCTTTCTTTCTCTCAATACAATTTCCCACTCATAACCTCCGTAGTTCCTTGAATTCATTCTTCCATTTTAGAGACCAGGAACTTGCATTTCAGAGATGTGGTAGGCTTGGGAGTCTCATCTCTTCCACTTGTATCACAAGTACTGTCCCTGCAGGGAGCACACATCCTTACAGAATGCGCTCCGGAAAGGATCTTCCAGAAAGCACAGGTTGTGTCCACTGTGTCTTCAGTGGGAGGCTACATTTTCCTCTACCTCCTGCTCTTCGTGGGTTCGGCTTCTGGAATGCTCCTTCCGCCCTTGCTCCTCCTCCACCTGACATCTTGAGGAGAAGGTGGTAGGGTGGGGTCCAGCACTTGAAACTGTAAGGGACGGATGGGCAAATCCCAGCACTCAGGAGGCTGAGGCAGGAGGATCACTATGAGTTCGAGACCAGCCTGGGCTACACAGCGAGTTCCAGGGCAGTCTCAA